ATATATATATATATATATATATATATATATATATATATATATATATATATATATATATATATATATATATATATATATATATATATATATATATATATATATATATATATATATATATATATATATATATATATATATATATATTATTTTACATGTATAAGTTTAAATAAAACAAATAAATTCCAAATAATATGCAAAAATGTGTGGAAAAATAATTTTAGTGTTTTTTCATGTATGAATAAAAATATAAAATCAGAATCAAAAAGAAAAAATAAAAAATGGTAAATATATCACACAATGGGCCAGGGGGGTGTAAAAATGGAAAAAAGTGTGTAAAAAGCAAAAACAACTCAGGCCCAGCCCAAGTCACCCTTCTTCAACCTCCAGCTCCTGTCTCAAAAACGCGCGCCCTCTATGCTTCATTCAAATTCCTGATTCTTTGACTTTTAACAAAAACTCATAACACAAACATTATAGAGCATGGAGAGACGAGTTCATACATATAAAAAACTTGATCTAACTCTAAGAAATGAGGGAGAATTTCTTCATCCCCAATTTTTGACCTAAATTTTCTCCAATGTTCATGGCCAAAATTCTCACAACATACTCAATATAAATGAAAAGTAAGTATATGGATGGCTTCAGGGCTATGAGGAGAACATGTTTCATTCACAAACCTAAGCCTAATCATGCCTGGATAGAGAGATAGAAGTTCATATTTTTACCTGTTTCAGCTTGAGTCGTGTACAGCAATGGAGGTATCTTCAATGGAGTTTGAGCTTTGGTACAACTTGCCTGAAGTCCAAGGATGCTTCTCCTATGCTTGGCTTGCTCTGAAATTGCCTGTATCGTGCTATGGAAGTCCACCTGCACAGCTTGAAATCAAAAATGGCAAACGATGTTAAGGATGTTACAGCTTGGATTCAATGCTTGGGATAACTTTAGTGGATGATATGGAACATGTTTGAACTCTTTTTGGCCAAAGTGCACGAGGGGAATGGACTGTGGAAGTCAATCTGCAGCAGGGACTCTGTTTTGCAGAAAAACTGTGCTTTTGGATATGAGATGGATTGAGGATGAAGGAATCGTGCTTTAGGCCAGTTAGGGAGTGTGAAAGATGAGAACAAAGTTTGCTTAGGTTGGTGTTTACAGGAATGAGAGATTGGAGTTGTTTTGCAATCTTGCTTGTTTTTGAAGTAAGAAAATGAAAGTTTCAATACAGGCCTGTGCAATGCCCTAAACTATGCTGCATATCTCCTTCTTGATCAGAGGGATTTGTGTACAAATGCTAGCCTCAAAGATCTGGCCCATGCCTCTTGGATTTTGAATTTGACATAAAGTGCATCTTTTCAAAAATGGTAAATATGCTTTTTCCAATTAAGGATTAATCTTACATGTAATGACCAAATGAACAAAATAACAACTTAGCACAAAGGTTAGGCATTTAATTATGGTGTGTGAGACTGGTTTTGAGGCCTGCAAGCTAGCTTGTACAAGCTGATTTGAAAAATGCCAATGTATGAACATGTATTTGGTTATGAACAAAAGTGACTTTTGCCCAACTTTGAAAATTCGATTCTCCCTAACCACAAGGGTGTTTGAGAAGTTCTTGGACAATTTGGAAAGCTTGGAATGTGTACTACAATCCATCTTTTTAATGCAAATTTAAATTCTAAGTGGAACCATGTGAAAAGTGGCCATGAAGTTGGACAAAAATCCTGCCTAGAATAGGTCAAAATTTTTCTAAGTTAAAAATGTTTTGCACCCTTGTTCCAAAAATCATAACTTGAGCTACAAGCTTCTTTTGAGGAAACTTTGTGAATCAAAGTTGTAGATTTTGCAATGTACTACAACTTTCATGTTTTGAGTTTTGTTTGAATCCAATTGTATCTTGATGAAAAAATGGGACAAAGTTAGGAAAAAATAAGGAAGTTTCATAACTTAGAAAAATTTATGAAATTTTCTCATTCTTAAACCCTAATTTGCAAATTTGGGTTTCTTGATGAACAAGTTTCATAATTTGACATGTCTTGATGAAAAATGAATCTTGACACTTGATTTTGACCAAAAAGTCAAAGTTTGACTTTTCAGTATACAGTCAAATTTTGATTAGTTGACTGGAAAATTCATCTGTCAATCTTGTGCATTTGAGATATTTTGAACTTGTTGAATATTTCAAGACAATGACATTGAGTCCTTGAGTCCATATATGAGCTTGGTTTGCCATTAGTTAGGTCAAACAGTCAAAAATTGCCTTTGTACAGTCAAAACCCTAAAAATGACCATTTTGCCCTTTTGGTGATCTGATCAAATTTCTTGTAGAATTGTGAGCCAAACTTGACCAAATGGTTCATATGAATTCATTATGTTGATGTGGGTCAAAAATTATGAAGTTTGACTTTCAATTGGCCACAATTGACTTTTTCCCAATACAGCTGATTTCTAGGTCAACTGTCCAATTGACTGGGCAAAGATTGGAATCAAGGCTTGAAACTTGGTATGGATAAACTTGTGAGTCCAACATGAAGCATGAAAGTCATTTTGGGAATTTTAGGTCAAAACATCTTTGTGCAAACTCAAACCCTAATTTGGGTCAACAGTGCAAGGAGGAGTCTTGAGCAGAGCAAACCCTAACTTCATCTTGAGCTCCAAGGGTCTTGTGGTGAGAAAATATTGATGAAATGAGAGGGAAAATTTTGGGGTACAACAGTTGCCCCTGTTCAATCTTCTTGCACCTGAAGAGTTAGATTGGCAAGTTTGCCTTTCGCGTCTCGAAGGTAAAAGGAGATTGGACACTAGAGTGCCCTTAAATTTGCACTCGTCGAAACAATGGATGCGGGAATGGGCTTAGAGATGCCATTTAGAGATGGGATTAAAGATGCCATCTGGAGGGTGTTGTACCCCAATTTTTGACCTAAGATCCCATTTTTATTTTTTGCATTTTTAAAGATAAGTCAAGGTCACGAAATACGGTCGGTTTTAACCTCTCGCCTTCGAGCTTTGACTATGCGAAGATTGTCAAGTGTTTTGAACATTTTTAGCCTATGTATCACAAATTTCTAATCGCATACAAAGGTGTATGTTCATGTTTTCTTTTGTTTCACGTGCATAGACAGGTCTGGATCAAGAGCATCAAGTGTCGCACCTCAATTAAGGTTTTGAGTCTCCCAAGCCAGAAGTACGGTTGATTGTGGATTCTCGAAGACTGATTCATCAAGGCACAACTGTTGCACCCTAAATTTCGCCCCTAATATGTTTTAGTCGCACTTTCGTATCATATCTTGTTATTTAGTCACAATCATTAGTAAATATCTTCATTCATCACATTTTGCATCATTAGTCGTACTTAAGTTGACCAGAAAAGTCAGTTTAAATCAAAGTTTGCATCGTCTTTTAGTTAAAAAATACTTGACATTACACTTCATGCATTTTTATCTCTTTACTCGTTTCTTGCATTGCTCCAAGTTGTTTATATGTCGATAATAAAAATATTTTGGTTTTATAGACAAACTGTTAAAAGCGATTCAACAATGTGCGAAAAATTAGCGAGAAAAATATTTCAAGCTTTCACCTTTTACCGATCATTTTATGAATCTGCATCTCGCATAGATTATGACGGTATGCTCGCTTTATTTTTTTCGATACAGTTTGAAGTCTCGTTTTTAACCGTAAAACGTCTGTTTAGCCTGGTATTTTCATTATCATTTTATTCCTATTTTTACTTTTTTTGGAATATTTTTTCTTTAATCTTTGTGACATGTAGTTTATTTTAATGTATTCATTTTATTTTTTCGGATAAATTTTCGTCCGTTTTTTTATTGTTTTCGGTCATTTTAGCTCTTTATTTTTTATTCAAAAAAAAATATTTTAAATTGAATTAATTTTAATACTTTCAATTTTTATTTCATTTTTATCATTTAAGGGCTATTTGGTCACAAAAATATATTATTTACACTGTGCTTGATTCTTATTGGTTGTTAGCAAAAATAACGGATCAGTAAATTGAGTTTATTTTGAATGGCTCTGATTGCAATCATAAACCCATCTCCACTTTATTTTTCTATTTAAGTAGCATTATTTCTTTGTAAATAGAAAAAAAAAACAAAAACAAAACAAATAACACTTACAGTAGCTCTTCATCTATTCTCTCTAACTCTCTATTCAATTTCTCTTCCCAATTTCCTCAGTTCAAAACCCACGCATTCCTAATTCCCTTCACCCTCTCTCCACGAACAACAAGCATAAGCAGTAAACCTATTCCACCAGCTATCATCAATATCCCCTTCATCTCAATCTCAGTAACTACTCCCCACAAGCTCTGTTTCACCGTTCCCAGATGCTCAGCAACCATACCCACTCGATTCCAAATGCACAACAATAATTCCAACCACACGGAACCCACCTGCTAGCATTTTCACCCATACGACCATCTCCTCTACAATTCTCATCCGAGCTGCTACCCACAATCATATAACCTCCTTTGTTTGTTCCTCGTTCATCCGCTTCATAACCAATTCATCACCGCTCAACATTCGCGTTCAGTTCAACCACGAATTCCGTTAGCTCTCCATCTTCTCGAAGCTTCATCTCTCACTCAACAACCTTCCTCTCAACTCAATTATCGTAACTCGTTGATTAACTCTCCGCCGTCCCAAATCACCCACCAATCGCCCCTCTGTTAGAAACCGTAAACCCTCTCCGTTCATCACCATCCCAACCGTCATCTCACCGCGACTGTAATCCAACCTCTTCCTCCCTATGATAAAAAATTCCTCCTCCCCCTCGATTGAACCAAATCGCCATTTCTTCTCGCATCCTCTTGCCGGCAACCCGAATCACCGACTACCAAATCGCACATGTATACTTGCTGCGTTTCACCGGTGTCCTTTCTCGTTGTCTCACTGAAATTTTTGAAGCTCCGTCTTCTCGCCGCCGCCTTAATTGCTGATGTACTTTCCTTAATTCTGTAGTTGAAAGAAACCACTCTTCTTGTGTAATCAATGACTACACTTCAAAGTCAGGCTGGAAAAGAAACTGCTAAAGTTCAAAAATCAGCTTCGGCTTTCAAGAGATGGGGCAGAAAAGGCCCTTTTCTTAGATATGGTCTTCCCATGATCTCTCTTACTGTTTTTGGTGCTCTTGGTCTTGGCCATCTTTTGCAGGGCAGCAAGGACATTGCAAGGGTAAAAGATGATCAGGAATGGGAAATAATTGAAGCCAGAAAAGCACTGTCTAGAACAGGACCAGTAAATGCATACAAGCCAAAAAAGATTTCATTGGAGGATGAGCTTAATGATTTCCAACAAAAGGTAGACATTAATAACTACGAGTACAAGACTATTCCTAAACCAAATGAAGACATGCGCATCTGCCTTTGTCAACAGCTTCAACATTCTGCAAACGATTCGGTAACTTTCAATTTATTTACTTGTAGCTGTTATGCTGTTTCGAGTAGTCTGTGAATTATAATTAAAGAATCTGGTAGGTAATTGTTTAACTTCAAACTGTTTGAGTAAGAAACCGTTATGCTACCATGATTATTTCTTGAGTTTAAATCTGAAAATTGGTTATGATGTGATGTTTTGTTTGCAATGTGCAAGGGTTTAATGGTAGATATGAGTGAAGTTCTTGATGCTAATGTTTGTGTCAAGCTTGTGTTGAGATTTCAATGTCGAATTTGTGATACAATTGTTGATTAGTCTATGTTGAGTTAATGAGATTGAACATTGAATGTTACTTTTGTTTGAGTTCTAATTTGGTTGGGACAACATGTTATTTGAGATAACTTAAAGGTTTGTATTGGTATTTTGTTGTTTAATTCAATTGGATTTCAAAGGTTTAACTTGTGGGTAGTATTGTTTTTTTTCTTGGAGTTTGAACTTGATTATTTGAGGTAAATTCTATGGAGCATTTTTGGATGGTATAGCTGCTGCCCGGATTCGGTTTGGTGGAGTAAAGGGTTGTTTAGAACATCGTTTACCATGTTTGGAATTGAATAATCATCATTTGTTTGGTTCTTGATTTGTCCATGTGCATTCATGCAAGTTTCATTTTCTTTTTATATCTTGTAAATACTAATTGTTGCAATTTTGTTTCAATTTTAATTTGTATACCGCTTATGCTACTAACGCGTTTGTTATTGTGAAGGTTTCCAAAAATCTATTTTAAGCACTCATTCTTACATAGCGCATCCACAATTCCCATACTTCTCCCTTTTACCTTTTTATTGTATTTTACTATTTTGATTTAATATTTGGTACTGTAAATATATACTTGTATATAATATTTTGACTGTATATTTTACTTGTAAATAAATTCAGGTTTTGAAAATATTATTTTCATTGCATTGTGATTTTGTTTTTAATTCCAACTAACTTCTGAAAATTGTGCGGACGCACATAAGTTTCCCCGTGTTGTTAGATTTTGTCGGTATATCTCTTGTGATGCAGGGATTCTTATCTGACACCGTGAGCTTTATCCATCGCCTTTGCGCTTTATCTGATTCCTCTCCTGACACGCTTTTCTCGTATGTGATTTATTTTCACTTGATGCGTTTTATCTGACGCTTGGAGTATTATCTCACATCAGGTTTTTTTGATGCTGTCGGCTTGTGATTTATTTTCACCTAAGGTTTGGTATACTCTTAGCTTACTTATCTGTCTGTGGTTTTAAATCCAAGGGAAAGAATTAATTTGTTGACTTCGTGTCATCGAGTATCTAATACGATTATGTGAAGTCCCTTCATACTTTTTTTTTAGTTTTATTAATCTTAAGACGAATCTCCTACAAATCAATTTTTAAACTCACACCTCTTTTTAAGCCAAAACTTCGACATTAGGTTATCACATCTTCAAAATCTCGCGAACACCTATTTTTAGCCAAACAAACCATTTTAATCAAACAAACAATTTTAACCAAAAACAGATATTTCAAAAGGTTCCTGCGGAGTACCGCAGATGCATTGGGTGCTAGTACCTTCCCATTGTATAACCAACCCCGAACTCTCGATCTCTTTTAAAAACGCATTGTATTTTCATTACTTTTAAATATTAATTTACATTGCATACTTTAGGGTTTTATTTCGCTCTTTTCCCTTTTCCCTTGGAAATAATAAAGCGCGGTGGCGACTCTTGCTTTTTGTGAGTCAAGTTAATTAATAGCTTGATCTCCGATTTTCACCGCTACAGAGGGGTGATAGAATCTTGTCGGGGATGGGCTTAAAGATGCCATCTGGAATGAGTATCAGAAAGGTGTCCATATTTTGGAGTATCTCTGAACTGGGGGTATGAATAAGCAATAGATTGACATCCGTGTTTGGACTCATCCGTAAACTGTTTTCAGTAGTTGCATTTGAACAAGCGATAGATTAACATCCGTTGTCTGGAGAATTCGTAAACTGTTTTCAGAAATCTTGGATCTGAACAAGCGATAGGTTAACATCCGTGTCTAGAGAACCCGTAAACTGTTTTCAGAAATCTTGGATCTGAACAAGCGATAGGTTAACATCCGTGTCTGGAGAACCCGTAAACTGTTTTCAGAGGTCTTGAAGTTGAATAAGCAATAGAGCAGCATCCATGTTGGGAAGCGTCCGTAAACTGTTTTCAAAAGTTGAATCTGAACAAGCGATAGATTAACATCTGTGTTTGGAGAATCCATAAACTGTTTTCAGAAATCTTGGATCTGAACAAGCAATAGGTTAACATCTGTGTCTGGAGAACTCGTAAACTGTTTTCAGAGGTCTTGAAGTTGAATAAGCAATAGAGCAGCATCCATGTTGGGAAGCGTCTGTAAACTGTTTTCAAAAGTTGAGTCTGAACAAGCGATAGATTAACATCTGTGTTTGGATAATCCGTAAACTATTTTCAGAAATCTTGGATCTGAACAAGCGATAGGTTAACATCCGTGTCTGGAGAACCCATAAACTGTTTTCAGAGGTCTTGAAGTTGAGAAGGAACCGATGTAGGGTTGCCTGATGATGAGTCCGTGTAGAACTGCATTTGAATAATTGTTAATGATAACCTTTTATTCTTATCCTGAAAAGGACAAAATGTTAGCTAAACACAAAGTTATGTTGCATGAAATGTATGATGCAATATATGTCATATCAATGTTTATGATATGAATGTAATGAATGCGCATGCAAGCTGATGAACTGTCTTGCTGGGGATAGATGAATCCTGGATAATAGAATCTTGACTGCTGCCAGGGAAAGTGAATCCTTGACTACTGCAGGGGATTGCAAAAATTTTTGATTGCTGAGGATGAGACATCCTTGTTGACTACTGACTGCTTGGGGAACAAGATCTTCAATTGTTGAGGGATCTTAGGACCACTGCTGGGGATTGGAACTCCTTGGTGACTTGCTGGGTAAGAGAATTCTGATGATCTCTACTGGGGAGTTCAGAACCTGGTAGACTTATGCTGGGGACGTAAGACTGAGAATCTTCAGTCTGGTGGGAAGTATCTCTATGGGGAGAAGGTTCACTAGTCTGGTTCCGTTGGGGATTGATAGTTGGAAGTTTTAGTTCCGCTGGGGATAGGATTTTCAGATTTTAAGGCTCCACTGGGGATACTGAAACTTAACTCTGAGGGGAATTGAGTTCTGGAAGGCTCTCCGGCTGGGGAAATCAGTTTTGAGAAAGCTCTTGTTCTGCTGAGGATCCTGAAGTTTAACTCTGTTTGGGGAATTAAGCTCTGGATTTGAACCTTGTTGAGGAATTTGGAGTTTAGAACTGCTGGAGATTCCTTCCGAAAGGGCATCAAGATATCTATTCGTACCTTCAACTTATCAGTAATCATCTTTCTTGATTTGTAAGGAAATGATTATGTTCAAATGCATATGCCTATTTAACAAAACATTGGACGTTTCTCAAATAAAACATAAGTGTAGAAAAGCAAAAGGAAGACAAAGCAAATTTCTGTATTTGGAAAAGTATTTGTATTAACTTTCTATGAGTATCTTTGTACAAAGGAGACAGGCATCCTAGTAAGAGGATGTCATTGTAAAAATTGAAAAATTTATACAAAAGAAAGATGGCTATGTGAAACAATTCCATGGGATTCCATTCTGCTATAGCCTTCACAACTCTGAATATCTGTCCATTCAATGCTTCATCCGCCGATGACTGGATTGATCAGAAGCTTGGAGCTGGTTGATGAATAGACTGTCCTTAAAGTGATCCGATGAGACATAGACATACGCTTTAATTCCCTAACTTTTGCCTGGATCGCCCTTTCGGGTTTTCAATCCACCGGGAAACCCTTTTTTGCCCAAGCCGCCCTTTCGGGTTTTCGACTTGCCGGGTGTACAGATTTTTTTTTTGTTTTATCCCTAACTTTTGCCTGAACCCCCCTTTCGGGTTTTCGGTTCACCGGGATGCCCATTATTGCCCAAGCCGCCCTTTCGGGTTTTCGACTTGTCGGGTGACTTTATGCGTAGTATCTTTTGACTATGTCTGCGTTCGCAGGGTGTGGAAAATCGTCACCGTCCATGGTGGTCAGAATCATTGCACCACCAGAAAATATGCTCTTGATCACAAATGGTCCTTCGTATGTAGGAGTCCATTTTCCCCTGGGATCACTTTGCGGCAAGATAATCCGCTTGATTACGAGATCTCCGACTTGATATACTTGACGTCTGACTTTCTTGTTGAAAGCCTTGATCATCCGTTTTTGATACGTCTGACCATGGAAAACAGCAGCGAGCCGTTTCTCGTCGATCAAATTGAGTTGATCAAGTCGGGTCTGAATCCAATCGTCTTCATTTAAACCAGCGTCCTTCATAATCCTTAAAGAAGGAATCTGAACTTCCATGGGTAAGACAACTTCCATGCCATATACCAAAGAAAATGGGGTTGCCCCTGTCGAAGTATGTGTCGTGGTACGGTATCCATGCAGAGCAAACTGTAGCATCTCATGCCAGTCCTTGTAGGTGACTGTCATTTTCTGAAGGATCTTCTTGATGTTTTTGTTCGCAGCTTCAACAACACCGTTCATCTTCGGCTGATAGGGAGATGAATTGTGATGATAAATCTTGAACTGTTCGCATAGAGCGGTGATCATAGTATTATTCAGATTTGTACCGTTGTCTGTAATGATCCTGTCGGGGACACCATACCGGCATATGAGATTTTGCTTGATGAAGCGGGCAACCACATTCTTTGTAACAGAGGCGAAGGAAGCTGCTTCGACCCATTTGGTGAAATAGTCAATAGCAACCAGGATGAAGCGATGTCCATTGGATGCCGTGGGCTTGATCTCTCCAATCATGTCAATGCCCCACATTGCGAATGGCCAAGGAGCTGTCAGAACGTTGAGAGGAACAGGAGGAATATGAATCTTGTCAGCGTAGACTTGACATTTGTGGCAAGTACGGGAATGTTGATGGCAATCTGCTTCCATGGTAGACCAGTAATAGCCTGCCCTTAGAATCTTCTTAGCCATCGTATGCCCACTCAAGTGGGTGCCAAATGTACCGTTGTGTACCTCAGTCATGATTAACTCTGCTTCAGCTTTGTCTACACATCGGAGTAAAACACAATCATGGCTGCGTTTATAGAGGATGCCGTTGTTCAGGAAGAACTTGGCAGCAAATTTCCTTAGGAACTTTTTGTCATTTACGGAAGCTCCTTCGGGATATTCTCTAGTCTGGAGATACCTTTTGATTTCGTGAAACCAGGGTTGTTCCACTACTTCTTCG